ACCGTTCTGTCTCTGATGAATCCTCTCAATTCTCAGCACCTCTGGCCTACACCCCAATTCTTGTATGCAAAAAAATCTGGACCCTCCCTGGTGGCGCACCAGGTTAAAGCACTGCACTAAAAAGCTTAAGCCACTTCCTCATGAGTTCGATTCCCTCCTGCCCCAGAGGTGACCACATGGCGTGGCAGACCTCTCCTGACCCGCCCGCTGCTCCCCTCAGCAGTATACTTCGTCGATCTGCCTGTTCTGTTCCCCACTCTGTCTCTGGTGAATCCTCTCACCCTCCGCATCTCTGGCCTGTACCCCAGTTCTGTATGAATAAATAAATAAATCTTTAAAAAAAAAATCTTTAAAAAAAAAAAGTCTTTGCAGAGAAGGTACCTGTAGGGTATCCAACATGGGGGTGACACAATCCTTTACCTCTAAAGCCTACCAATTTGTCAATCAAGTCATGGGCTACTGGTCACCCAGACAACCCTCCTCAGTCTACCAAAAAGGAATCTAGAGGCTGTGAACTGCCTGAGAACTGTGTTCATTCTTCTACTCTCAGATCAGGGCCATCTCCCACACAAAACTCCACCACTCCAACAAATCACTTGGCAGAGGATTTTACATTTAATAGTAGTATCTGGGATTTTTAATCTATTAATTGATAAGAGTAATGATCAAGATATATTGGGTCAGAAATTTTTCTGATTCACAACTTCAGAAGCCAGAAATAAAGCTCAAAAAGCTCAGGCCCTTGTAAAGGAGTTCTTTCAAATTTTGAAAATCGGAAAAGTAAATAAAATTGGGTTGGAAAGTTTGCCCTCCAGTGGGGAAACAATGAACTAACAATCACCACACTGCACCAATGTGTTCAATGTGTTCAAATGTTATTTGGGAATGAAGTGCCTATGGGCTCAGCCTGGACACTGCCCTAAGAGAACTGACTCTTGTTGAGACAAGGCTTTAAATACTACAAGCCAGACAAATAGATATGAACAAAATATTACATATTACGAAGCATATGACAAACAGGAACACAATGCAAAACTGGAATGCAAAAGTGTGGCTCCCACTACTGAAAAGCTGTGTGGTTCTAGAAAATTACATCTGATTAGCTTATTTTCAAGTAAAATGATATATAGCCTCTCCCACTGGTGACTATGAGGGTCAAATGAGAATAATAGTACTTAGTGACTTTAAAATACTATTCAAGGTTTTCAAAAAATATATTTATTTATTCATACAAGAACTAGGGAACAGACCAGAGGTACAAGGGGTGAGACTATTCACCAGAGAAAAGAACAGGTGGATTGACTGAAATACATTACTGAGAGGAGCAAAGCAAGAGACAGGAGAGGTCTGCTGCGCCATGTGGACCAGCTCCCAGGCCAGGGATCAAACTCATGCTGCAGTGGCTGTGAATAGCCTCATACTACTTTAACTCATTGTATCACCAGGGAGAGCCACATCAATAGAATTTTTGATACTTTGTGCTGGGTATCATATCCAAGACAGACCAGATTGGTGATAAAGTTTAGAGAGCTTACAGTCAAACTAACTAAATGGATTACTCAGATAGGTGACACAGCTGTTGTGAAGGTTTGTAAAAATTACCCCAACGGTGGATAAATTGCAAAAAAAAAAAAAATGCCCTTTATGGCAAAAACATTAGATAAATTAACACGGTAGTCCTAGTCACTTATAACTTTAGATAGCAATTAAAAATCAGTCCTCAGGTAAACCAGCCACAGTGCAAGCATACAAAAGCTACATGTGGCTAGGACTACCAAACTGTGTATTACATGGTAGACAGACAGATTAAATGGGTAGATAACAAACAAATGATAGAAACATAATTCAGTGCCATTGTTTTTATTTCCCATTCCTTTAGTTAATTGGGACTTTAAAAAAAAATCTAACTTCTTACAAGATCTTCTCATTGTCTTTGAGTTTCTCCAGTTTATAATATGCTTAGCTATACATTTTTGTATATTTATCCTACTTGGGTATTTCTGACCCTCCTGAATGTGTGATTTATAGTGTCATTATTATAGAAAATTCTCAAAACAAAGAACAAGGGCAATAAATGAAAAAGTTAGATATGTCTTTAATCCAATTATATCAAAAATCACTTTAAATGTGGCCTAAACATACCAATTAAAACAAACTATTAGAATGTTTTTTTTTTAAAAAAAAGACCATTATATGCTGTATGCTGTCACTATATGCTGTCTACGAGAAACCCACCTTAAACATAAAGATGAAGATTAAAAGTAAAAAGGGATGGAGAGATACCCCATGCCAATGCTAACCCTAAGAGCACTGAAGTACACAGTGGCTACAGCCACAGTACAACAATACTCTGCTCCCTCTCAATCCTTCCTAGCTTCCTCTGTAGCTATGTCTGACAAACCCAATGTGGCTGAGACTGAGAAATTCAGTAAGTAAAAACTGAAGACAAGAAATGCAAGAGAAAAATCCATTGCCTCCACGGAACAGAAGCAAGCAAGCAGATCTGTAAGACCTGGTCAGCAGTACGTACTGTATATTCCACAAACATTGCCTTATTTTAGTTCTTTTGGCAGCTCAACTTCGTAAGATGCAAAGAGGATGGATAAGTTTAAATGCCTGGGCTGGCCCTTTCCACATCAAAGTATCCAGAAACTACTAACATTTACCCCTCAGGACAGCAGGGGATGGATAAAACTTACATGTTGGTGAAGGAAGAAGCTGGGTGGGAAGATAGGGAAATCTAGAGCACACACCTACTGGTCCAAGGTGTCCTGCAGGCTGTAAAATGTAGTGTGCCTTTTTGTTGTTATTCAAATTATTTTAATGGTTGGGTTGTACATTTTCTTTTAAGTATATAGTTTTAAAGCCTGAGGGGAGGGCCCTCCTGGGTGGCACAGCAGGTTAGAGCTCTGCACTGCTAAAATAAGCCAAGCTGCAGCCACTGGAGGTGATCCACATGACACAGGAGACTTCTCCTGTCTCCCCTGCTGCTCCCCTCAGCAGTATACTTTGTAGATCTGCCTGTTCTGCTCCCTACTGTTTCAGACAGAATGCTCTCACCACCCCTGCACATCTGGCCTACCACATTTCTGTATGCATAAACAAATAAAATCTTAAAACAAAACAAAAAAAACCTGAGGGGAAAAAGAATGCTATAGTAGCTACATTAATTTTAGACAAAACAGACTTTCGAGCAAGGAAAATTACCAGGAATGAGAAGACTATCATTATATAATGATTAAGAGTTGAATTCTCCAGGAAGACCAACAATCCTACAGATGTTCTGTGCCTAACTACACCAGGTCAAGGCCAACAGAAAAGAGAAAAACAGGCCAATTCTCTATTATAGTTAGAGACATGAACATCCATCAATCAATAATTGGGCACACAACTAGAAAATCAAGATCAAGTATAACATACAGTACCATCAAGTAACAGGATCTGACATTTTTATATAACTTCATCCAACTACAACAGAATATGCCTTTTTCTCAAACTCACATTTAATGACCACAAATGTCAGCAATAGAGGGACCTAAGGTAGTACAACCCAGGGGCTTACTCTTAAAAGGAATCTGGGTTTTTACACAATAGTGGAAGAATAATTGGCTGGAACTGAAGGCTGGGAGTAAAGATACTATGAACCAAGGTCTCCAGAGGTAGTGAGAAAGTAAACAGCTTCCACGAGAGTCACACAATGGAAATGAAGATAATAGATTTCTGACAACCATAAATTGGACTTTTTCTAAAGGGTAATGGTTTTCTGAAACCTAAAAAGTGCTCAATAAATACATGGAATGATTCTCCATTATGTCACTACCCCCCAGAAAAACACAGTTCAATAAAACATGAGCAGCTTCAGTGATTTTGCTGGGTTTTTCACTATTATTCTCAGTATATAAAAATTTGTTTGGCACATCACAGGCATTCACTTGTGAAAAAGATCTCTACTCACATCCCAAGTTTAAAATGTTTCCACTAAAAATGCAATGGGAACAGGGAAAATGGTAGACTCCACTTCAATATACTGACTGACACATAACCCAATTTCACTAGTTCCAGCGTAACCCCTTTGTCCTGCCCTCCATACCTTCCACCATCCTTGTCTCTACTGTACCCACCCCTGAAAATTCTACATGATCTCCATGAAATACTTTTTACAAGACTGCCACCAAAAGTGCAAATGCCACATTAATTATAACTAACTTGTATCTTCTGCAAGTGATGACTTGAATAGCTGACAGGACATTTGGTGAGAAAGCTCTAATAAATCCAAAGTTATTAAAACACAAAAAAGAAGCCAAGTTGCTGTGTAGCCCCAGAATATACTAGTAGGTGTTAAGAATTAAGTTTTTTTTTTTTTTAAA